AAGGATCGCATCTGTGTTAAAAAACTTCCAAGTTCAAGTCCTTCCATTGAGTTCTTTAAGCAGAGCGGTTGGAGTGATGCACAAGTCATGAAGCTTATCAAGTGGGCACCCAATTTGCTACATGCTAATGTAGAGACTGCCCTGAAGCCCAGGATGAGATCTTTCAAGGACATGGGATTTTCGACACTGAAATAGTTCAGCTGGTTTCATTATGTCCGAAAGCGCTCGTTTTACGTGACATCAAACCGAGGATCAACTTCTGGAGGTCACTATTAGGTTCGAATGAGAGGCTTCTGAAAGCCTGCAAGAGGAACAAGTTTATTCTTAGTTATAGCTTGGCTCGGACGATAGAACCTAATATATCTCTCTTGAGGGAACATGGCATCAGTGACGAGCGTATCATGCATATGGTGGTGACAATGCCAGGCTGTTTTGGTCGAATAGACAAATTAAAGGAGGTTATCAAATATATTGAGGAATTGGGTGTCCCACGTGACTCTGGAGTATATATGTGTGCACTTCATGTAGTCATGCGCATGAACAAATCTAGTTTTGATTCTACCAGTGCAACTCTGATGAGCTTTGGTTGTTCCCAGCCTGACATCGATGCTGCATTCAGGAAGTGCCCAAACGTTTGGGCACTCTCAAACAAGACCATATGTGACAAGATGACATTCCTGATGAAGGAAGCTGGTTTTGAGCTGACATCTATCATTTGCCGTCCCGTGATTCTTACACTCAGTTTGGAGAAGAGGCTGAGACCTCGATACGAGGTTATGAATTTTCTTAAGCAGAATAAATTGCTGGATGAAGGACATAGTCTACTATCCGTCATACCACTATCTGAGGAGAAGTTCATAAAGAAATATCTTTTCCGGCACAAGGAGAAATTTACTTCTATCTATGATTCCTATCTTGCTGCTGTGCAGGGAAAGCCACACGTTGTTCCTTGAAATTGAAACTTTAAATTAAAATGTTCAACTTCATACTGACTGCACTATTTAATCATCTCAAAATTTGTGACGTAAATTCTCCAGGCGTTTCTTGTTGTAGAACATCCATGATGATTTTGAGATTCTTTTTTTTATTTATTTTTTTACAACAAAATTTACCAGATTCTTTGATATTGATGTTTGACTCAGAAATTGGAAGAACGAGTGGGGGAACAGTCACTTCGTCAGAAAGGTAACCCAAATTTTCTCAAGCTGTGTTGTGTTTCTTTCATTGCCAGCTAGTTTCTATCAGCTGATTAGTGTCAACTTTGCCTCAGCCACGTTAAATGGTGTGAAGTGTCACAAAAGAAACTTTATTAATGATTCTGTTGGAGCTTGTGAAACCATCTTAGAATGTTAATATGCTGGAAGTTTTAATGTTGTGGAAGAGCCATATTGATATGGATTTCCTTGATCCAATAACTGCCTACTTCACCATCTCGCGAGCTATAAGGATACAATTCTCTGTCATATGATTTCTGCTCTGCCATATGATTTCTGCCGTCTGAAACATGTTGTAAGTGTGAAACTCAAATATTTAATGGGTTCTTTTTTCTTTTTTATGATAACATTTTTGTTTAGATATTTACATCTTCCGATCTGTATCCCCTTATTGCGTACTGACTGTGCTATTGAATCATTTTAGATTTGTGACAATTTAAATTTTCCAGAAGGAACTTCTTAAGAGTAGAACATTCATGTTGATTTTGAGATTGATTTTCTACCGGAGCTAGTTAATTCTGTCAGCTGATCTATGTTAACTTGGCCTGAATCATATTAATCTTAATTATTGATTTTATTAGAATATGTAAAATCTTGATAGCTGAATTGTCATTTAAATGGTTGAGATCTATTTAAATAGAGTATGAATAAGGACAGAATCATGGTTATCATTAAATGCATTTGTATTGAAATTATGATCTAGGTCATATAAATCGATGAAGAGGTCATAATGGATGAATGCATACAGAAACATAATTGTGTGCGGACTTTCAGTCAACGTATACTTACTATTTCTCCACCTCTGTATCACTCATCTTTGTTATAATCAAGTGGCGATAAGGAGTCACAGTTACATGGAATAATATGGGAAATAGAGTTTTATCGAAAAATAATGTAAGTGAAAGTCAAAAAATGAGCTTAGAAAGGATTGGTATCGAGAAAAAATGATGTTCATATGTTACATGAAAATAAAAATAAGATAATGTTTTCAATTCAAGTTTTTCAACTTATAAATTTAATTCAACAACCAAATCAAGAATAACTCGGATAGATGATATTTTCACTATAATAAAATATATTTCTTCAAAGTCAATCCTTTCATAACTAATCATGTCTTTTATCTTTGTTGTGAGCTATTATTTTCAGTCTTCAATTTATAGATCAATTTATTCTTGAAAGCTTTATTCTCTTTAGATAATTTTAGTCTTCAATTTATAGATCAATTTATTCTTGAGAGGTTTATTCTCTTTAGATAATTTTATCAAGTCATAGGTGTGGTTCTTAAGCAAAGATCTCATCAATTCTTTTCTTGCATGACTTTAACTTACTTATTCTTATACTCATGTAGAATAACTTCTTAATAAATTTCTGACTCTCCCTTATCAGTAACCACTTAGATTATTTTTCGATAAAGACTAATTTACCATATTATCTAAGTGAAAGTAGAAAAATAAGCAAAATAAGCTAGAACATGAGACACGTAGTTTTACAAACCTAAGATATAAGTAGGCCGGGCATGCGAGTTCAACCGGGTGCGGCCCAGGAGCCGGCCTGATTCACGGTGTGTCGAGCCCGACTCAAGCAAATTTGGATCTCAGGTTCGATTGAACCAGATGAGAACGGCATCCTCAAATTCGCACTCGTGCCCTAAAAGCAGCGGTGAAACCGTCTCCTTCTCCACAGTCACTGCAACTGCGGCGTGTACCTTGGCGAAAGCCGGCAGCGGCGGCGGCATTTTCCTCCGTCGAGCTCATATCGCTGCGGCGTTTTCCTCGGCGAACGGTGGATGCTGCGGCTTCCTCTCCGTCGGCGAACGGTGACAGCACCCGGTATCTCTCTCTTACTCCTTCTCCTCCTCTTCTTCCTGCTTCGCCGTCGCACAATCCCTTCTCCTCCCTCCTCCTCTATCTTCCCCCGTTCATCGCAGCCTACCGCCCCCCGCCTCGTCGCAACCCCCTTTCTCCGATCCATCCTTCCTCTTCCCCGTTTAGCCACAGCTCTCCCGCTTCCCCGACACCATCCTCCTCCTCCCTTCTCCTCCCTCCTCCTTCTTTCCCCCGTTCATCGCAGCCCCCCGCCTTTCTTCCTTGGTCCCTCCCCCTCCTCCACTTCATCACAGCCCCCGCCCCCTGTCGACCCCGGAAGCCACCTTCACCATCCTCCGACCCCAACAGACCCATCTCCATTTTCCTACGCCGTGCCAGACAGCCCCCTCTCCATTATCCTGCTCCGGCCCCGACAGCCCCCATCTCCATTTTCCTACTCCAGCCCCGACAGCCCTCATCTCCCTCCTCTACACCCCTCTTAGCCTTCTCTATACATCTTCCCCTCCGCTTTCCTACTTCCTGATAGTTACCCACTACCCTCCCAACAAGCAGTCAGCAGCATGCCATGAGCATTTACTTCAAAGAAATAGCATGTCAGTGTATGCAAGTTAAATACTGTTGTCAAGATAGACGGCAGGAGAAGTGATGCTTTTAGAGAGAACAAAGAGGATTGGGGAAGTCTTAGTGACAAAAAAACGTGGAAAAGTTAGAAAAAGAGATAGCAGAGACAACAATCGGGTCACC